TTTAATTCAAATAAAAGATCAGTAATATTCTGGAATTGTATTGTATACAATATGTAGATTATGTATATTTTTAAGTTCAACATTTAGACATTATGTTTGTACGTAGACGAGATATTCTATCTCATAATATTTTGGATGCTATTTAATTTAAGAGCCACCTACTTAAGGTGTTTTATTTAGTATAATGTATAGGAGTCAGTTCATTAGTTCGGTTCGTTCGGAAATTGCTCATTAAGCTACGTCAAGCGCGGTAAGTGAAGAGCTACTTCACCACAAACAGTCATTTGTTTGTCTTAATATGTAACGAAAAAATATTACCTTCTGAGAGAGAATGCGAATATCTTATTAGTTGTGTACTTTGTACAGTAATGATACTATAAGCATATAAAAAAACTGTTTAAAATAATATTACTCTAGTTTAGGTTCGATTTTCATGTATGTATATTATCAAATTTGGTTTCTATATATAAAAGTAATACGTTTAATTAGTAGGTAGAAGGGATGTTGAAATCGAAAATATAATTCAGTCAATTGTTCTTACCGTCAATGGTGACGGTCAGTGACTACTTATTCAAATATATTTAGCCAAAATATTGTACCTATTAAAATGAAGCAAACGAAATTGAAGTAAAAGTTATATAAATAAGATGTTTCTTGTACTTTTGATACTTGAATAAGGTTTTTTCTTACTATACAAATTAGTTATTAATTATAATTTTAAATAAAAAAAACTCAATGTAGCTATATAAACATTCTTATTCCTATTTAGTTATTGAGAATCTAAATTAAAGAATGATAAGTCATTTAGTAACATAACGTTTTATTCGTGATGGCGAGTTATTATGTTGTTAATTAATGTTTTCATTTAAAAATCTTATTCTGAAATTCTCGTATTATATTTCAGAATGTAGAAAAATTTCTGAATCAGGCCAGGTGGGCAAAATCCGTGTAAATAAACATAATTGCGCTGCTGTCGGATCGGCCGCTTGCGACGGAAATTGCCAGCCGACGTATGGTTTGAACGAGACGTTTAAATTTTTACATTTATTTTTATATATAAGAGTATAAGAATCTCTTATTTTGTATGAAAAAATTTAGTTTATTAATTCCACTATAGACAGTAAGTAGAATATTGTTTTAATACACAGTTACTTTTGTGTTATATGTATGTATATTATATAATTTATTGATTACTCAGCTTTATAATATAGAACTAGGTAAATTTATCTGGATATTAAATCGATTAAAGATAATTAGTACATGTTTTTAATATGTGCTTGTTTATTCCACGTCGTACGTGGGTAGCGGAAGTATGGCCGGTAGCCATCGGAAATTGGTTTATGGATTGCAACAGAGTATGTTCAATATGTAATTTATTCTTTATATCCATAATACTCAAGGTATTTAAAGTGTTATCAAGTACTCATTTCATATAATAAATGTGGGCAACATTGTATGTAAAAGGTGTAATAAAATTGTTAAATCCAATGTAAATAATATTATAATACTCAGAAAGTTTTCAAACAATCTCTTTGGAAATCCTTTCGGATAAAGCTTATCGAACTTCATCGTTATGATACATGAAATAACTCAAGAAACGGTTCTCCAGGGAAATATCATATTGAGTAGGCTTGTAAAAAGTGTTAGGATGATTTTATTCTTTTTATATGAAAAACATATAAATGGTTATATTCTTTCATTGAAATGGAGATGCAATAATAAATAGCTGTGTGTAATGTGAATGTTAAAACATATTGTTGTTCAGGAAATAAGAAAAACCTCGTGGGATTGTTCGCGTTGTGGTTTACATCTGATTGCGATTGATTTCCGAACGAATCGAACTGTCTTCAACTCATTAAATGCGGTGAGGATGATAACCTTATTTCTATTTATTAAACAGAATCTTTTTTTCATACTTTACATTTTATTTCTATCGATATGAGTGAAAACAGAATATTTTTTATTCCATAAGTTCATAGAAATGTTAAGTGTTATTTATATAACAATCAGAATGCTTCTATCTATATTAAATAACACAAACTATTTGTTAAGTATGTTAGTTATGAATCTCCTTTTCCTTATTCCTTATATGTATCTAGGTCACGGCAACTTATATAACATCGCAGGGACACCCCTGTAATCTATGGCGGATATAAGTAAGACTAACAGTGAAACTTTTGGATAGCAATGATTAAATTCTGAAAGATTGGATTTTAAGAATGATTTATGGATAAAATTTATTTTATATTATATATGTTCGATTATATTACATTTGAAAATCTTTTGGTTTTGATTAAATATATATATATTAAAGGATGAAAGCTGATGAACCCAATGGTAAGTTATGTTCCAGGTCCTCTGTAGGTTTATTGACTTTGGAGATATAATTTTCTATTGAAGTTTAAATAAAAGTGAATTTGGAGCTTGGTATCAAATCAACGGCAATTATATTAAAATTCTGCTGAAATAAAAAATCTATAGTAGTTTTTTCCGACTACAATTAACTGATAAAAACAACTCAGACTGCAGTCATTGCATTCTGTTTAAATTTGAAAAAAAACATTTTGTTGTTAATAATCTGTGTTGCTGATTGTCTTGGCAAGAGCTTTGAGTGTTACGCTTTGTGTGAGTGACTGTACAGCCTCCCACAGCTTGTATTACATATTCTAAATGTCTTTACCAATGCCTTCCAAAACTGGTGTAAGTAATTTTGTATGTGACTGTACTATCTAAGGATTTTTAGCTTTAAAAATACATTGATTGTTTTTATTTAAGTGATGTATTTAATATGTGTGAGTATTAATTTATTTAAAAGGAACTTTTCTTCGCTTCAATCTGACCAAACTGATTGTCTCACTCTATACCCTATCTGTACACAACAAATGCTTGCCTTTACAATTAAATGTTGTTTTTTAAAGCTGAATTTGATGCGTTATATTCTTTGATCAAAACAGCTTTAATATGAATTGCATATCTATTAATAACTGTTCTATGTACTGTTGACCAATTAGGTAGATATGCTGCACGATTTTCTTCTTTCCGACTAAGCACAGTGCACGTTGCTATGACGATATACAGGTCACTAAACTAGTGTTATTTTAATTTTTGGTATGTTTCTAATAAATTTTATATTGGGAGGATAATAGAAATTACAATAACACTGTAGTTTAAATGAAATTTCTTTTATTTTGTCGACATTCAAACTGAAAAAAACGTTTGTTTTTAGTAGATTCAAAGATACTATTTAATATGATATATTTTAACAAAAATAATGAGTACATTTTGTTTATAAGGTGCATAATATTATGATAATACATTAACATAATTTATGTGGAGATAAAACTGCGGCAGCAAAGTACTTAACATATTACTGCTGCAGACATCTTAATATACAAATAAGCAACTAAATTTAAAATTTATGAATCACATGTAAGTAACATTTTTATTTGAAAAATCTTTTCACTTACCTGAAGTATTTCTTGCATTGAATACACTTTTATTGAATAAGGGAACTTGTGAAAAAAAATTCTAAGTACTTCATCTCAACTTTGATTCCAATACAGAAAAACTGTTGCTTCTATAATATATGGATAGAAGTGTGCTGAAGTTCTATATAAAAGTTATTTTGGATGAATTCGTTTTGTGACCAGCCTATCGTCGAGTAATAGTAGGTACAGCATGTCAATCTGTTGGTCTTGTAAACTGCTGAATGCTTGGTGTATAGGAACTATCTTTCTTCTTACAGGCCCGGAGCGCTAGCACCAGTAGCTTTAGGAGTGTAAGTCAGGTAATCACAGTTTGTAACGCTTGATCACGCCTGGCCATATTTATTAATGGGATTTTTCGTTGTTTATGATCGGCAATGATTTTATTTGATGGGACAATTTGATGCTTTATGTCTATTTTAGCAAAATGAAGGTCTCCAATAAAGATTGAATAAGGAATGACTAATATAATGCATTTCCCATCTAAAACTGCACCTCTAGTTACCATGAGGGATGCTACCTTACATTATCCATTATGTCTGCATATGCCGCAATATGTGGTACTAGAAGCTTTATAGCTAGTTTGTCTTTGTTTACCTATACATGAATATGATTCAAATAAAATCATTGCCAGGGATTATTTCATGAGTCATTTGCTATTTTACAGTAGTTTAGCAGTAGAGGAATCACTGTCATCTGAAAAATCACCATTTTCAAGCTAAAAACAGGTAAACAATTAAACTTCAATACGATACAAAAAAGTTTATTGAAAGATTAAATATTTATGTATATAATGTAGCAGTTTTCGATGATATTTAGGCCATGGGGGTTGGAACCCCTATTATTAAGTTGACAGTATCTTTAACATTATTGGCACTTTAAGTACTCGCTAGATTGCTAAGTCGTTATGTTAAAACATCCCGTGACCCAAAAACCTACTTCGTATCAAACGGTCGTTTTCTTCGTGCGAACTCCTATCTTTCGATAGCTGTTTCTTGACGATCGTTTAATTGCTTTAGATTCCTTTATTAGAATATAAATTGGAATCCTGTCTCAAAAGAAATATTTGAAATTAAATTACAAAACAAACTTTAAATTTTTATTTATATCTAATTCAATAAATTGTTACATTAATAAAATGCTTACAGACGTAAGTTTTTTTTTCTTCTATTTGTAAAAAATAATAAATTAATTAATTGCATAAAATCACCAAGTATGTGATCAGTGGCTATACTTTTCACAAGTAAAAAGAAATTTAACTAATCCAGAAGTAAAATGAAAAGCTAGAATATAAAATCATTAAAAAAACCTTCGAGTAACATTAATGTGAAATGGTCACGTAATTATTGCGGATAAATTAAAGGCTCTTGCTGAAGAATGTAAAATGTCTTAAAGTGATGGTTGATAATAAAGATTTACGTTTTAATAAAGTATTGCTTTTATTTTTATAATAAAAACAAATCAATACAAATAAGGATTAGTATGATTTGAAATTTCTAGGATTTTATATTAATTTTAGTCGCCAGTCATCATCTCCATGAATTCTGAAAATAAAGATATTGTTATATAATTTTCATCTGAGTATTTAGCACACAGTAATATGCGCTCGTACCTCTCAGTCCAAAATATTGGAGCAAATTCTCCATAGAAACGTTTAATATTACGATCAACTATACAGTTAGTTAATTTTGAAATACTATTATTTTCAATTGCAGTTATATAAATGAATGACATATGAATTTATACTTTAAGCTTTTGAACATAGAAAAGAAAATCGTATGATTCTAATACTTTTATCAAGTTAACCTTTGCAACATCAAAATTCAACTAGCTTCAGACGAATGTTATCAAAAGAATACTTTTCATTTATCTCAGATTTAAGATCTTCTCTAATGCTTTTAATTAATGCCTTAATTATCTTCTATATATATAAAAATGGATTGCTGTTCCTTAGTCTCGCTAAAACTCGAGAACGGCTGAACCGATTTGGCTAATTTTAGTCTTGAAATACTCCTGGAAGTCCAGGCAAGGTTTAAAAGGTGAGAAAAATTGGAACATTTGCCGGGAAAACCCTAAAAACAGCCCTTTTCTATTTCCCATACAAACGTTTTCTTTGACATTAGATTTGACAACTAACTAATATGTCAATCATTCTGTTCGATTGAAACAGGAGAAACCTGATTATTAATGGCCTCTAAAACGGAATAGAGTTCGCCCGGTCAGCTATACATATATTACTAATGATGAAACTAACGCGGACGAAGTCGCGGGCAAAAACTAGTATTATATAAATATCATTACCATCGAAGTCAACTGTGCCTGAGGAGTCCGTATCTATTTCTGCTATCATCTCGTTGAGTTGGTCGGGAGTTAGTTGATCATCGAGAGCTGCTAGTATCTCACGGAGGCTGGACGTTGGGATGTAACCATTGCCTGTTAAATAAAAAAATCCTTGTACATACATACATATTAAGGAAATTCACTTAAAGGATTCTTTGTAATAGAATTAAGTACAAAAAATAATGTCACTCCAATGTCATCAGTGCTTGTAATTTGTTAACATATTGTTACGTAATAATAAAATAAAATTGTAAAGAAATTATTAGAAAGACTTAAATTTTTACAACCGATTAATCTATAGGTACAATGCAGGTGTCCGAGGTACAGTTTTAGTCTTGATTTTTCATGTTCAGCGTTTCTTTCAATTATGTCATTTAAAATTGCTGAAACCAGTAATTATGGTTTTCAAATACAAGTTGAGACTTAAATGACGCCATTGCAAAATTACAATAATTCTATATTATTAATAATCAGTCTTAAAAACAAATCAACATTTTATGGTTCATATAATTAGTACGGCATACACGGCGCCGCTTGTAACACAAGGATAAAAATAGTAAAAATTAAGTATAACTTTTGTACCTATTTGAATTTACATATAAATTTAGGTAGTGTAATAAATATGTCAGCAGCGGAATGTACTTGGGATGAAACATTTTACAGTCAGGTAAAATCTGGCACAGTATTGAAGTTAATTCCATCAACAGGCATAAAATATTTTAGTGTATGCGAATTAGTTAACATACTGCCCTGATTTAAAACTGTTAGTAAGATATAAATAGTTAGTTATTCACGTGGATTCTCTCGTGAAATTTCTATTACATATAGGACTTAATTGACTTGCGAAAGATTATTCAAAGACAAAATAACTTACATATTGTTTGTTTATATATATGTACATAATTATAAAATTTAGATCTTAGTACAAGCGAGTTTATAAAAAATAAACTCTGTAATATTCAGCCACCTTTCTTCTTACATGATAAAACTCAGTTTTGCCAAGTTCAAAGAGTCATAAAAGCTAGACAATCAATGCATTTAAGTATATTTTGAGTATTTTAGTTTTCGTTTATTTAGCCATTAATACATATATGTATAAGGTTCAGGTATAGTTTTCAGACTAAATATTACTGTTTAGTCTACATGTGTGCTAAGAGCTCCAGATTCCACGAGAATAATTATAAATATAGTTCAAATACATATTACTGTATCGTATCTATTTTAGTAAATATTTTAAGAGTGACACATCGTATTCTGAAACAAACAAGTCTTTTAAAGATCCACTAAATGAAGGATGTAAACTGAAATCAAAATCATATTATGAAGTTATGAATTTTGTTCGATACAATACTTTTAAATAATTTCTGGTCCAAAAAAGGTGCTAACTTGATTTGATTGACATGTAGTTGGACATTTGGAATATTATCTTTTACATTGTAACGTCCATATAATTTGTCTTTCAATAAATATTGTAACAAAGAGAAACATTGTTTTTAATGCGTTGGAGAAAAATAAAGATCATTTGAAGTGATCGTCATTACATAGTGGCTTAAACGTTGAGGCAAGTTATAAATGCCTATGGATTGCTCTAGAGAATTATCATAGGTTTAGAAAAAAGCCTCGCTCATTAAATCTAACCATAAATCATAGTCTAGTGGATTAAGACCAGGACTTGAGGGTGGTCAGTTGTCAGCACTGACTAAGTCTAGAATGTTCTTCTCTAGGCAAACGAGTTTATAGAGATGTATGACCTCGTTTTAAAAATGTGGGAAGGATCTTTGTTGATTATTAAATGTTGCGTTATAAAGGGGCTTAACAACCTTTGCAATAATGTTAACTTGATAAACTGATAACGAGGTTTTTAAATTGTTTGAAATAAAACATATTTCTCAGTTACTTCTTTGTAACTTACTAAACTATTATTAAAATCAAAAATTGGTACATAGTACTCTGTTGGTTAGTTGATCAATTTCTTTATAACTTTAGCTATCAGCATAAATGTAATTATTTTATTATAAGACATGTTTCCTTTTACAAAAATTCTCATTTGTAAACAATATCTCGAAGTGAGCTCTTTTTACGCGACGTTTAAGGAGTAGTTTTAATTTTACAAATGATAAATGTCTTGTACGTTTTAAGTCTCTCTTAAGTACGCGACATATTTCTTGTGAAGTCTTCATTTCCCGAAATAAAATATTTTTATTTCGGGCATGGTTTCTTCAAATTCCTAAATTTATGTTTTGATTGCCTTTTTACAATCACCAACTACCAAAATTTTTTCAAGAAATTGAACTACCAAATACTTAAACTACGGCACCTATTTGAACTAACAATACTTTTTCCGTTCCATACAGAAGAGTTTTGATTGTCCTTTGCAAAAATCTCGTACATTAACATTTGACTAATACCAAACGTACAGATTTTCAAAATTTTATTTGTATCCATACCCACTTTATGTAACGCAATTACGATTTGATCCTTTTTATTACCAAATTTTACAATATTGGCTCGTTAATAATAAAATAAAATGAACAACCGTATAAGTGACTTTTAATTTGAGTTTCAGAAGTATATAATATCTTTGGTATATTTATTTGTAACAATGTTTAAGTCAATAGTTAGTATTAATAAAAGCGTTTGTTGAGTTTTCTGTAGGCTCTTCTTAGCAATGCTTCTATAAAAACAGATTTCATCTAGGTTATAGAAGACTTATATTTATGTCATTTGACGATCTGATTGCATTTGTTCTAAGGTTAAGTAGATGTGTCTCAATAATGACTTTTTTACATTACAAAGAATCACTTTTAATCAAAGACATATTCTTGTATAACTTCTGTCCATTCTGATGGAATCCAATATTATGCAAGAAATGTATTGTTTTAATGATATTATCTGTATCACGCCTGTACCGAATATTATAAACTATGCAGTGCGCTATGTCGACGGATTTTAATACGAGGTACGATGTCGCCAAAGGCGGGGGATTTGCAAAAATGTTTCCATAAAGCAAGATAAGGTTGTCAGATATAATATTTTTAGGTGTACATATTGTATGTTAGCGTGTATATTTTTTAAAATTTGAATTTCACAAAAATTCTTGATAACCTCGACATTGTTTCTTGAAATTAATTTTTTTCAATAACAAATAATATTATGGACAACCACAATTTTTTTTATGACACTAAATATTAACCTTTGTTTACTTTTATAGAGAAAATGTATGATTTGTAATAATATAATGATTAAAACTAATTGCTATCATACCTATCTTAATTTTTTATCAATTCAAACGAAATACGATCATTCGTTTAATTATTTTTTAATTATTTTTTATTTCAAACGAGATTTTTGAACAACATGAAAGGGAAAAAATTCTTAAAATTATGGCAACATAACATTTCAAAGAATTCAGATATTAAATCCTTACTAAATAAAATCAGGGAAACCTAAAACCATTGTCACGTCTCTCATTTTACATATATATGTATATGTACATGTTTAATGATTGGAATCCAATTAATAAGTTGTACATGTACAATATTATACATATACTTTAATTAAAAATTTTAAATATAATCTTAAATAGTTTATTTATAACTACTTTGTTCGTCGCGTGTTTTCGTTTAAAAAACTTCAACATTCTCTATGTCAGTTTAATAAATTACTGAAACAATTACCTTGTGAATTTACAATAGTGACTTAAAAATTTATTTTATATTTCAAAGAATTTTATTTCAACAGGTACAATAATATATTGTTATTAGTCACGTAGCTTTGGTTTTATTTCCGTCATATAATTTTAATAAATCTTTTTACCTAATTACTTTTCATAGAGTAATATTATTATTTGTGGTGTTCTTTTTTGATAAATAGTTGATAGTTTGTACTGATCTCCCCACACATACATACGGAATGAGAAATTATAAATAAAATAATATATCTACACACTCGCACACTTTTATACATAAACATATATATTTATATACCTTCATATATGCAATGGCATTATTCGTCATCGGCCTATCAGAGCCCACTGCTGAGCAAAGGCCTCTTCTCATATGGAGAAGGCTTGAGCATTACTTACCTCGCTTGCTCAAGACGGATTGGTGAATTCAAACTTACAATTGTGGAAATATAGTCCAGTTTTTCTTACGCTGTTGTCCTTCACCGTCTTTCAGTGAAGTTTTAATACTTTTAGAAAGTACATATGTATGACTCGGAAAAATCACATTGCTACTTGCCAGGATCGAACGAGCGCCCTCGTGCACGAGAGCCGGGCCCTTAATCAATAGGTTACCACTAACTTTGGCATTATCCATTTGTATATAATTTAACAGTACTAAAAAAAGGCAAAGTATCCTTATTTAATAAATCATTTCATTTAGAAGAATTTTTCATTTTGATTGACCACAAGATTATTATTGAATAATGAAGACTTCTTTTTTCACCTTACAGATTTTTTTTTTTAAATTTAACATTGAAAATCTCTTAGCTTAGACTTCGAGCAATTTGTCATTTATATACAGTATGAGGAAAGGTATAGGATATTCGAAAAAACTGCACTTAAACAGTTAAAACTGCAGTACAAAAAGTAAGTTGCTCTTAACTTAAGTAAATTTGAGTTTAATTACAATGTTCCTACTAGAGCCAAGCACATATGTCTATACCTTCTGTCTTATATATGTATAAAATTCTCGTGTCGCGGAGACAGAGAACTCTTCCGAAACGGCTGGACCGTATTCGATGAAATTTTGTGAGCATATTGAGTAGGTCTGTGAATCGGCCAACATCTATTTTTTATACCCCTAAGTCATCAGGCAAGGGTTGTTCACTTTAATTTGATTTTTCGGACGAAATTTTTGTTTTTATTTTTTTATAATGTAGCATTAAAATGCATACAACCCAAAATTTTTACTTTATCACCAACCCCTATTTTTTGATATGGCAAAACAACGTTTGCCGTATACATATAAATATTTAAGAATACATGATTTTCAATGGTTGTGATAATTCAATTGTTTTAACAAACTTTCTATTCCACGAATAAAATTGGCAGACTACCAAAAAAATTTATACATAGAAGTTACTCAATATAATTTAAATTTTATTACATTCAGTTGTTCTAGAGCAAATTAATAAGCGATTTAATATTTTATCAACCAAATAACTAAATGTATTTGACGTTACGTTTGTAAATTATAGTTAAAACTATGTACTGACTATGATTAATATGTTTATCATGAAATGTTAGAAATGAATTCATTATCCTAACTACATTTTTGCAATATCAAACCAAATACGGTCACCATTTTTTGTCCATATACCTGATATTATAGAGTTTGAAGAATGAAGAATGAAGAATGTTTGAAAGTCTTTGTTCCTCTAACAATGTATGTGCAAAGTAACTGTACAATCATATTCTGCGCCTTGCATGTTCGAATCCTGGTTAATTTCTCACTATATATATTTTATTTGAATTTTAGTTTAAACTAATTTAAAATTTAATAATTTACTGAATCCTGTCTACAAAAAATGAATCGATGTCCACATTACAGACCTGGCCTAGTCTGGACGTCAACGTTTACTGTTAATTGCAATGTTTAGTGTTTTATAAATTAAAATAAATGAATAAAATAAACTATCTGTTTTAAAAATTACCACTCCCATTAATGTAAAAATTTATTTCTTATAGCCATAGTTAAGGTAATTAGATATTCATATAATATTGTTCTCAAAGATTCACTAAGAATTATTATTTGTAATAGGTACAGAAACCTTACGACTGAGTTACAAATAGTAACATAATTGATATCATATTGACTTGATAGAATAGAACTTACTAGGTGGCTAATTTTATCTTAAATTTCTAAATCCATACACAATTAATGGTTTTATATTTCAAATTTTAAAAAATAACTTTATTAAGAGTTATTGCAGCAATATAAATACGAGTTTCTCATACCAATTCCGTACGGTGTATACAAACTTTCAAGGGCTAGAATATCACACGTTCAAGTTAAACCCTTTACGTTTAATCTGAGCACTTACACTTGTAAAACTTATGTTATATTTCGGCTGTTTATAAGTTACACAACTTATAAACAGCCGAAATATAAGTGTCTTACTTTATTTATCAGTAAAATTACATAGTCTCTTTTACGTATGAAGTGAAACGAAGAAGTCTAAGCAACAATATCTAGTGACCTTCAGATTTAATGAAACAGCGTTCAAGAATACTGATACGTTGTTCACAGATCAAAAGACGCATCTGTGTCAACTATAAAAGTTGAAAGTTTTTTAATCATGTCACTTCTGTATTATTTTATATGAAAAGCTAAACAATTGTTTTTTATTTTATTATAGAGATTTGAAAAGTTTAAATTGGATAATAGAATATTTATAGATAATTGTATTTATTTAAGAAAATAATAATAGCTGGACATTTTTTGTAAAATGTGCATAGCTTGCAAAAGAAATGGTAATATTGGCTTACAATGTTTAACAGATGAGTTCAATACTATGTTTCAATTTCGGTAAAAATTGTGTAAAACCAATACAAAGCAATCCCAGCAAATAACAAAGAGATAACAACATCTGCGGCTCAGACGATACATTATGTCAGCTGAGATTTTAGGAACGAAGAGTCTTCTTGCAATAATAGCGATGTATTTGGAACTGATTTGAGATACCAGAAATTACTACTAAATCGTTTTTATGAGTGTTTTTTGTTTATATAGAAGCTACAATACTGACTTGGAGGAAAATAATTTCATGTTATACGGCAATAATCGAAAGAGTACCTACTGCATATGCCGATAAATTATTTAAATTAATTAAGAAGAATAATTATTGGTAAAAAATTGAAATACTCTTATTTAGATTGTACAAATCAATTCCAAAATGACAATTTTTTTTATATTTTATATTTTGTTTCATAATTTGAATGCAGCAATAGTTAAAAAACTAGTGACTTCATTATATTTTAACAGTTTTGAAACTAATTTAATAAAATATTAATAATCATTTCGAAGGTATAAGATTAATCATGAGAAGTTACATTACAGAATAAACGAATCCTCATACCTTCTTTGTCGTAAAGCCTGAAAGCTTCTTTCAGTTCTTTTTGCAAGGCTTCATCATCTTCATCGAGGAAATGCGTCGCAACTCGTACAAATGAATCAAAGTTTAACTTTCCTGAACCTGAAATGAATATGTCAAATGTAAAAAGGTAAATTACAATGTCATCAGCCTATCAGAGCCCACTGCTGAGCAAAGGCCTCCTCTCACATGGAGAAGGTTTGAGCATTAATCACCACGATTGCTCAAGACGGGTTGGTGATTTCACACTTATATAATTTTGAAATTATAAATCCATGTTTCCTCGCAATTTGATATAAGAGTGTAAAATTAAAAAAATCAATCGGGATTTGAACCTGAAACTCATGAAATGTCGCGTTGCAGTTATTTTACTAATTAAGCTGTCATGCCATCACGAAAGGCAGGTGTAGTTTATTAATTTCTCATTCCATATTTTAGATTGAATACTACCTCAACTTTGGTATATTTTAAAAACATGATTATACGAATATTAGGTGATAGAACATCTTAAAGTATTCCTTTTATTATAATTCAACTATGTCGAATCAATTTGTGATTAGGCAAATTAAATAGGTTAATCGATTTAAATAAAATATCATTTTAGATAGTCGATTTACTTATGCAAATATAACCACTGCATATTTCAAAGGCTAGGGAAAGCTTTTAATATGCAAAACGTATCCCAACAGAGGATGAAGGTCGGGACTATTCGGCCGATTTATAAATGTATCCATTAATTCAGGTACCGTTGCTCTTATTCTACATTTATCTTTATTTTTGAAATATTAATTTACATTTATTTTTTCATAATCATTACGAAACGTCGGATTAAATCGGATTATACTTGTTTGAATAATTTTAATCCTATTCTATCTTACAAAAATATTGTACCATTTATAATAATAACAAATGAATATTCCGACAGTACAGTAACTCCCTCCGGCCGAATCAGCGTTTAGGGACACAGCTAAGCGATTTTCAGGGTTGTAATACAATACTGTACATTATTGTGTATTGGATTTAGATTTAAAACATTTTATACATTTAAATAACTTTATCAGACTTGCAAATCATTCAAGTTGCTTTAACAATAACTTATTTATTATATAGTCCTTTTAAATAAAAATTCAGTATAGTTTAAAACAAATTGAAATGTAAGATTTACAGTATTTAATCGTATACGTTACTTATTATTTTAAAAATATTAGCAAAATGATGAAACAAAATTTATAAAGATACTCGAAAGAAGCTTGACTTTTTATGTAACTACATTTAAAGGTATTTTTAATGAATTACAACTTATGTGGCCCTTAAGAAAAATTGTCTTTTACGTCATATAAAATATTAAATTATTGCTTTAAGCATACCTCATAAAATTTGTCATATTGATGTTACAAATAATGTTCCTATCAGGAGAATCGAAATATAACTTCGAAGTATGATCGCGAGATTTCAACTCACATTTACTATTATAATTATTTTTTGATATTCAATTAATATACTATTCTCACTATATAACAATGGTAATTAATTGAAATAATTCTTTTTAATATTATAACTAACACAAACATGTATAGCATTTTATTAGTACTATACATATGTAGTAATGTGATGTTTGCAAGCTACTCGTATATACAAAAATAAATTTTGCCTCACATCAAAGCGTATACGAGACGTAATCGTCACCGTCGTATCTTAAAGAGGCAGTAAAAACGTATATTTAGTAACATTCACACAAACGACGGAACACTTTACGACTACACGTCTTGTTAAGAACATGTTAAGAATTGACCCGTAACAGCTTCTTAGACGATAATTTTAGTAAGTGTTTCTATATAGCTTTGAAACTATTAACAAATAATTATATTTCATATTGAAAATTTTCAATATTTTTCCGGTGTATATGACCCTGGCAAGTACCAATATAATTTTTCCGAGTCATATGTACTTTATAAGAGTATTTAGACATCACTGCCAGACGGTGAAGGAAAACATCGTGAGAAATCCTGGACTTATAATTTCACAATAATAAGTTTGAAATCACCAACCCGTCTTGAGCGAGTGTGATGATTAATGCTCAAACCTTCTCTATGTCAGAAGAGGCCTTTACTCAGCAGTGGGCTCTGATAGGCTGATGACAATAACGATGACGATGGTGTATATATCAAATCGAAAACCGTTCTACTTTAAAGTAAAATCATTAAATACGTAAATATTTTGTGTTTTACTTAACTAAAATATAAGTTGATTTATTATTATAAATATAAAAAAAATTGGAACGATATCATATTAAACACAACAATTAATCTTTGAAATAAAGGACATTTAATCCCTGTTTTAAAGTTTGGGCTCAAAAATACATTTTTAGCTATCCTCTATTTTTAAGCTATTTAACATAGCTTTACGATTTGTCTTCAGAGTAGTGTCTTCTCAATTATGCAAACACGAAACATTTCGTAAGAAGCTTAGCATAATATATATTACATATACCCAAATTTAAAACCAAAACAGAAGAAAATAGCATTATATTTAGACCATTGTACTTTAAGCTATCGATGACAGATATCAAAAATGTATTGGAATTAAAATATAATCTATATATATTCCCTTTAAACTAATACATAAGTCTCGAAATAATAAATCTTTAAATACAATATCCCACCAAATAGGATGTTTAAATGTAGATTAAAAATTATCCATAGATAAAGTTCTTCATACCTCAAATACAAATAATACAAAGCCATTTTCCATATAATTTTTATCTTATATTTACCATCAACATCTTCGGTGTCCAACCTCTGATCCAGTTCATTGTCATCAAAGCTATGAACCATCGTGTTCAGGATAGTACGAACTTTTTCCTTCTCAATTCTTCCTTGCTTGTTCGAATCGAACATACTGAACGCTCGTCTCAGCACTGTACATACAAAAGTATTGAAATATTCCATATCATATATTAAGTGACAACTATAAAGATAAACGTGAAAACAAAGTCCCAGCTGGTGTAAATTTTACAGTCGTTTATACAATGAAACGAAATTGTTTAATGGGTTTTAACACGTTTCAAATAGATTAGGAGATTTAACTACAACTAATTTCGAAGGATACATTACATCTGTATAATTTACACATACGGGAATATAGAATTCATTAATACGTATAAATCTATTAAAATGTTTAAATTTTAATCTTTTTTAAACTTTCATAGATATTATATATTATATAATGCGTTTGTTTTAAGCTAAGTATGTAAAAAATGTTTTCAAATAAAACAATTATTGAATATATAATTATGTAACAAATAGTTTTTTAATCAACTCTAATTATTATAATAGTAAAATAAGTAACACCGTGAGTGAAGTAAAACTCGTCGTTTTTGTAGTTAAAAGCATAATGACAATGAAGAAGCCGCCGTTTTTAAATTGACAAAGCTCTAAAGAACGTATTATGCTTTGTAAACAAAAGCTATGAAAATGAAAGAGCGAAATATTATGTTAATGTGGAACAGAGAATTCCTTTTATTTTATTTATGCTGAATATTTTTTTATTAAAATTGCCGAGGCTTATTGTCTTTGGTAGTTCGTTGTATTAGTGAAGACCCAATTATTTTAATCTATAAAGATAGCGGCTTTGGAAAAAACAGATATTTTTTAACATTGTAGGTAAGTTACTTATAAAAAAATAAAAATAATATGAATTAAAATTATGACATTTATATTTAGAAAACTTACTTGTAATCTGCTCATCGTCGATTTGATTATTCTGTAAACCACAAATATATATTAATAAATTAAAAATTTATATTTAAATTTGTTGCAACTAATTATTTTTATATATAAAAAACGCACCATCTTGAATCAATCGAGTTAGGTTGTATTCAGCCAGGGAAGCGCGGGGCTATCGAGGCGATTGGAAACCAACTGGCCATCTACACGTTGGAAATTTAAACTTTCTGGAATGTTAAGAACACGGATTGGACACAATAAACGCTGTAATAAACATCTAACGCCTCAAGTGTACTTGGAATAATGGTGGGATTGAGAATTAATTCAAATTTTCGTATATATAAAACTGAAAGAGGGACATATTTTTTGGAATTAAAACATTTTCTATCGTGTTATACACATTAGAAAAATATTTATTTTTGAAATAAAACCTTAACAGTTCTCGTTATTATTGTCACAGTGAACATAGAATGTCATAAATTTCTCAAACAAACAGTGCCGCCATTATAATAAATGGTCGTAGAGCTTGTTAATGTCCAGTCATTTGTTTTAAATGATCCAATTTGTAAGCCGATGCCAGTGTATTAGTGTAGTATTATTATTTAAAACCATTATGTTATTTAGCTGAACGGAGATTTGGGTTATCAAATTACACAACGAAACAACACGGAAGATGTATACAATTAAACAGTTTACTGAATTATATTTAAAAAAAAAATAATTCTTGTTGGCATTAATAACTGAAATCTAATAGAATGATGTCATATAAAATGTTTTATTTTAAAAACTATTTTAAAACTACATACATATCTATGTATGTAGAATGAAAATAGTTGATATAAGTGTATGGAAAAAAATACTCACTTATACATGTAGCTCGCAGCGTGTCAAAACTCAAACATATTTTTAAAAATTGTGAACAGGATAAATCTTATGCTCTTTTTAAAGATGGCCTTTTCAAAAATGTATAACTTTGAAGTAGATAAAATAGTGGTAGTCAACATTGTTGCAAAATATTGTCTTGCTTATTAGCAATATTAAGATACCTCGAGAAAGATTCTATACTATTTCTGACATTTAAATATATCCATAACGAAAGTATGCGAAATAAAATCTATAAAGAAATCTTTTGATAACATCAAATCAATAGAAGTTCTGTTAATATAAAAGAAATCAGAATATTTAAAAATCCTTAATTGATTTCGATGAAAAAAAAATATAAAGTCCAAACCATCTTCACTATAATCCTAACGTTTAAATTACAGTTTATATTTATTAATACGCGGTTTAAATTGTTTTTATTATAGGTAAATTCAATACTATGAGGTACAATAAATTTATTCTTTCAATACTTAAAAAATTGTAAAGAACCAATAAAAAAATAAATGTGTTTTTTATTAATGAAAATTGTGAAATAAAGTCTTCTTCCATTTTTCTATACATGAGTCGCTTTTCATTTCTACAATATTTAAGTAATCGTATATTAATAAAAAAAAATTTGCTACAATCTCGCCACCCACATCCAACAATATAACATATCTTAACAACTAACAACCGCATCAATAAAGAAACAGTTCCAAAGAAAATAATCATGTCATTGGATTGCCAGAATTTCGTATAAATCAACATGTATTTATAATTTTACGACTTTCACTGAGGTAGAAAAAACGTTATGTTGTAAGACGATTGTTGTCGACTATAAATTGTGAACAACAAGCCATAGGACAAGTGAAAAATCTTTTTTATTTTCATTAATAATATTTATTATTATACCAAGTATTGAGTTAATAATACAAAAATATTATATTCTCTTGAAATATTACTGTTTTTAATGCGTACACAATTTATCAAGTTATGGCTAACCAAATATCTCAACTAATAAAAAAAATCCGCTGACTTATAACATAGGGCATTTACGTCAGCTCTGAATTACTAGTATGTATCATTACGATTCTTTAATACACCAATATTCAAATATGAAAATTTCAAACAAAGTTACTATGTAATGTAGAAGGTTTACCAAACTACCCTATGAAAACTTTCCATCGACCTCTAATTACTCGTAACGAAGTCAAAGTCACGATTCGGAGTCAGGGCCCGCATATGTTTAACGACTCAAACCTCATCCATCATATAAACCAACGATTAATGATATTTAATTAACTTTGATGTTACTTGATATTTGACATCATTAAACTATTCCATTATATTATTCCTATATCAAACGGTTTTGTATATATAATGAGATCTAAGACTTTCACGAGTATTCATTTAAATGTTTACCAGATTATAGTACGCGTATTTCATTTAGGCATCTCGTCTGCTTGTGATTTTGGCTGCTGAAAAGTAACTGAAACATCGGTAGTATTTAGTTTTTACAATAATAAAATACGCGTACTATAATCCGAAAAGTATTAGTTTCCGTTAGTTTTGTTTATAACTAGGTAAATTATAAGGCAAAATGATATTAAAGTGTAAGCAGCGTATTTATTTTAATACAATTCCGTATTGAACCACTAGAGGTTTTAAAATTCAATAGGTATGAGAATTATTACGATATACTCGTAAAACTATAAAGACAGACGTCAAAACAAAGTCCCAGCTTGTGTAAATTTTACAGTCGTTTATACAATGAAACGAAAATGTTTGAATGGTTTTTCAAATAGATTTACTCTTTTCAAATAGATTTAACTACAACTACTGAATTATATGAAACTTTTTCATATTTCCTTTCAACTTTGTGCTTATTATTGGTAACATGTTATAAAATAAAACGTCTTAATTATTGAAAATCAGTAATAAATATGTAAAAGTCGAGGCTATACAAATAAATTTTAGTTCTTAAATAAAGTATACTTTCCATTTATATCTTATAAGTAAGCTTAATATTAAAAATATCAGTACATTACATCGCCGCTTATATAGATCGTAAAAGTCTTATAATTTTGTTATGTAAATATTGGTTTATATGTAATAATATTTTTTCTCTCAGGCTCGAAACAAACCAGCTGATGGTGGTGGTCATGTCAATCAGAAGAATGCCGCTGGACAGAAAACAACACCGACAGGACAAAAAGGTAAATTTGTTAAGTTTTGTATTTTCTTGAAACAACCCAATTATAATTCAATTTTTTTGATATAGGTACTTTGTAAATAAAATCAATTTTCAACAATTTTTATTTCAAAGTAAGACATATTTCATTTAAATGAGACCTTTCAAAAATTATTTTACGAGTTTATATAAAATCGAAACAAAATTATTTCGGTTCCAAAACATAAAATATATTCAGATTCTATCTTCAGATATATTCTAAAATTTTAATGCTATAATATGAAAGATTTTTACGAAACCTAAATTAAACTCTAGGAGCGGCGAACAAAGGCGGCCCGAAGACCCCCGTGAAACCATCAGCACAGAAAGGAGCAGCAAAAACAGCACCACCCAAACAAGCGGCAGCGGCAGTGAAGACACCTCAAGGAAAGAAGAAGAAGGGACACAAACATCAGCAATACGAACTTATTGTTACCATTAACCTGGTAAAGAATGAACAATTTTATACAAACAATATTCTTACTTACATTAGCTACTTACATCGCTTCCTCGTGATAATAGGAAAAAGTAATCAATTGATAACAAAACCTTTGGAATACTAATAGCCATTAAAAACAATAGTTAGGAGATGGGTTATTTGAGGTCCATATTTTACTTATATCTAAATTCCAAGTCTTATCATACAGCAATGTTCTATAGTAGCAACTATTCTTATTGACATGGTATTTAAACGACACATTGTAACAGTTTGTAAGGCACTGTAAATAATATTTTATTACCTACATTACAGTCGCTCTTCAATACATAATATTTTATATGATCGTTGTTAATTCGTGTCAAGCGAATTACGGGTGAAAATGTAACTGTAATTTCTATCGGTATAGAATCAATGATTCTGTAACGTTTCAATGGGTCAGTTACCCTGATACAGCTATAATCGGGTCAATGAGGTCACTCAGGGTGTATACAAAATGAAATTTGACGCTTATTTGAAAATAAGAGCTGAGCAATTATCCTATTTACTTGTAACTAAAACTATAACTGTTGAAAAATAGCTGTGTCATTGTTTCATCATTTGACTGCGATCCGTCGAAAGATCATAAAGTGAAGCTGAAAATAAAATTAAACATAGAAACGAGTTACAATTTTGAAATCGTTAAACGTTTTAATTTCATTCATAAAGTCCCAAAGAAATGTAAACGACGGTTTCATCTTCACAAACACCGAAGTAAGCCATCGCGGCTTCAGAATAGATTTATGAAGCAAAGCCATTATTCTGGAACGAAAATGACATGTCGTTATTGGCTTTTAAATATGACATTTCATGCCTTTTTTTTCTTCGTTTGGATTTTTTTTTTGCATTATAGACATTGGAATTTTGTTGTTTTTCTTTTACATTTGAAAATTATGCGTGATTTTACTTAGAAATTATTTACTAGATTCAAATAAAACTATATAACATGATATACAATCTCTGAAAAATCTTAGTATTTCTGTACGATTTTATTCTAATATTTAAAAAATATTTAAAAGCATCTGAAATCTTTTTATGCCTGTGTAGTAGTTTGTCAATATTTAAAATATATTATGACCATCTAACATAGCTCAGCTAAATTGACATACAAGAATAATCACTCAATTAGTTCAAAGACACACGAAAGACAAGGCGTGAAAATTTCCGGTCCGCTGCTAATTTGATAACTTATTTGTTCACTAATTTAATGGATCGCTGGCAGAAAATTACAGTTTCATAATGGCTTGAATTTTTATCACGTATGTATATATGCTCAGTATCGTTTACACTATTTAGTCGGAATCCTTTCTCTAAATATCAAAGCAACGGACTTGATTCTTGTAAAATTCTATTTAAAAACAATTCAAAGCGCTTTGTAATGAAACAGACATTCTCAAACATTTTGTGTGTAATAGGTTTTCAGCTTTTTCCGTTTAATAAAGAGCTCGTTGCAAAAATATTCAACATTGTTTCTAGCTAGTCTCGAAGGAATTAATCGTTTAAGTACAATTTTAAAGGCATTTACTTTAAAGGATACTTTTTCCAGAAGAGTATAAAGAAGACATTTTCATAATACATACCATTCTTAATTAGAATTACACTCTTTGTGATTAAAGTTTGTCTTTTAACTCAATAATGGAAATAATTATAATACAATATTATTTAGGATTCCACTGTAGTTACAACTATGGTTAATTCTGGAATACATAGCAGTTTCAATTATTGTACTTTTTTCAATTTTATCACCGCGACGTCATAAGTACACCTTATTTTTCATTAATTTGAATTGTACTAAATTTAAATGTTTTTTCTATAACTAATATTTATAAGAAACAGATTGAGGTGTATCTTATTGACCGATTTTAATGTGGTTTTATTCATTTAATAGTAAATAAGCCTTAAAGGGATTCTTAGTTACATTTGTTTAATATTCGTTCTGCAGTGTAAGAGGTTGAGCTCTTTACCAAAGTGATGTAAGGTTCATTTTTAATTTAATTCATCACAGTGAATAAATTATGACATATGAGCAGTATCAGTTACTTCATTATTCGTTTTATATTTTTAATATTTTTTTAAAGACGGAGTTTTTTGCTATCCCTATAAAAATAGATAAACGAAATTAATTTATTTTTACATTTTTAAAGTATAAATTAAATTTATATAATATTAAATAATACTAAACACACACATACATTCATAATTCCATATATTGAACCAGTTAAAAATAAAAATACACAAATATGTAGTCAATGATTTAAAAGATTGACATCGTAGAGCGCTGGTAGTGTTGCGCAAAAATACGTTTTAAATATAGCATACATATTACCCAGCTGACAGTGTCGCGACGCGTGTCACAGCTGACCTTTAATAAGTCGCGAGTGTCAACAACAATAAAAAAATGTATTAAAATCCCATCGATAAAATCTCTTTCACACAATACAATCATTTGTTGCATCTCGTTGATAACTTTAAATTTTATTCGATGTAATTCCGATTTATTGGACATTTTTGTTGGACAAAATATCACGTGCTATTAATATGTGAAGTGTGCTGAAATAGTTCGTTCGTAGATTATGTGCCGGTATTAGGAAAAGTTTTCAATATAAGTTCCAAGGAAGGATATTGTGTTGTATGTAAAAAGTAGTTTAGTATCGGATATGGCGCAAGCAGACAAAGCTGATGACATCTACCATAAAGAATACAGAAGAATACGAAGGATCACCAAAGAACTGGCGACGAGACAAATTTCTGTTAGCTTTTTACATTTTTCTTATTTATATACAACCATAAACATATTTAATACAAATTTACTGTATAATAAATAAATTTAAAAATAATAGTTCCATAAAAACTCTTCAAACATTTTATTACACATATGTATATGTATTTTTAATTATAAACTTTTGTTCCCAGTCTGAATATGGTCTTACGGAAGAACAAGTAGCAGGTAAGTAAAACAACTGAAAAAATTGACTAATATTCATTCTATTTTGATAATTAACTATATTATAAAAAAGGTTATTTTCATTACATGGACTAAATTTTAGCTTTAATTTCAATATACATAATATTTAATAAATAAACTTTATAATCATTTAAATTGATCAAATTCAATAAGAGTTATTTGAATCACGTCAGCTTCTAAATTATCTTTCTCGATAGCATTTTTATTTACCGATGGATGTCACAAAGGAATTCTAATTAAAATTTCTGTTCAGAATTCAAGGAGGCTTTCATGCTGTTCGACAAAGACGAAGATGGCACAATAACGATGGCTGAGCTTGGTGTAGTGATGAGATCTCTTGGACAGAGACCTTCCGGTAATATTATTTGATTCACTCGTTATCATTAATTAATACTTATATTTATATGTAAAAAGTTAATACCAAGGAGATCGTATATAATAGGAAATAATGTATGGTATATTTATGCAAATACTAGAAGACCTGGCGAACTTCGTATCGCCCTATAATCAAGAAATATCTATTACGTTTTTTTATTTATATTTCTGGAGTTTACCTGTAAGCCATAAATCTCCGTGTTTTGAATTGCGACAGAATGATTGACATATTAGTTAGTTGTCAAATCTAATGTCAAAAAAAACGTTTGTATGGGAAATAGAAAAGGGCTGTTTTTATGGTTTTCCCAGTAATGAATCAATTTTTTTAAGCTTTTATACCTTCCCTGAACCTCCACGAACATTTCAAGACTAAGATAAGATAAATTCGTTCAGCTGTTCTCGAGTTTTAGCGAGACTAAGGAACAGCAATCCATTTTTATATATATAGAAGATATTTAGGTATTTGTTGATGGAAAAAATTGCTATATGTATTAATGTTTTCTTCCATTTATTTTGAGCATTTTACGAGGTTTGAATGTCAATTAAAAATTGTTTTAGTACATATATATTGAAGAATTATTTATAAGGATTCATTACATACGTTTATAATCTTAGCGGAATAAACTTATTTTTAGTCCTTTAAAATTGAATTTTTCGCCCTATTTCGAAGATGTCAAAAGATGTAGTTCTCTTATTTTTCTTTAATACAAGTTTCTTTTGCTAAACATATTTAAAATTATCATTCTTTTAATTTTTTCGTCACTGGTAATAAATAAGAAAGTGTACGATGCTAATTAAATTACTTTAATTGGTTGGTCATTTTATGCTGAATTTGAAAATTTCAATTAATTATATATTAATTAAAACATGATAAATACTTATATACGATTCATGTTATTATTGTATAAGATGTTTTAAACCACATATTTCTCATTAAGCTTGGATATAATTATCGTAATCAAATGCCAAATAACTAGAATCTATAAATAATCGGCACAGTCATATTTGTTTATCTCACAGACCGTTTTAGAAATGAAAACAAATTAATCAAATATCTTTAAGCATTTATTAATAAGTTATAAATAATTTCTACTAACACATATATTGTTGTTGTTTTTCAAAAAATATTTTCAACTAGGCCCCGGCGAGATTCGAACTCACGATCTCCTGTTTACTAGACAGGCGCTTTAACCAACTAAGCCACGGCGCCGTTTAAAGATGTGTCGAAATAGCGTTTCTTATGACGCATCTTCAAATTCATTACATTATCACAATGTAATCTCGTGAGCGTAGTGTGACATCCATTTAACAACAATGACATCGTTTTAATTATAGTTAGTTTATCATTTTCATTTATAAATAATATTTTTAATCTATGAGCTATAATATGTACTATGAAATTATCTTCTGAAACCGTACCTAACGGAAATATTTAAGCCTTTCAACACAATTCACTTATGAAGTCATTAAATTCAGTTAACCTTTACCTAAAACGGTTAACTGATGTTTTATTAACAAAAAACTTTAACTACATTCTATTATTTATCACCAACTTGTTATTTGGAGGAACACCAATGAATAAATGAATATACAGCTAGACGTTTCAATTTGCGGCTCCCGTTAAATTGGTTTTCATGAATTTTTATGTACTCCATCGTTTTAGATTGACCTGTTTATTCATTTACTTATTTATCAAATAATACATACGTAACCAAAAATAGTACATATTCACTTTCACGACTCTTTAAATAAATTTGTGCCTTATTAACTCCTCACTTATTTTGTATTTACGTTTTATTTGAATTCACTAGTTATATATCCACAATTATATGCATGCAGGGATGTCAAATATTGCAAGTGGAATAAATTAAACGATATATTTTTATTTAGGTAACGTAAAAAAAATAATAATACAAGAACATAAAACCGAAGAAATGTTCGTTAAAACTAAATAAAAATAATCCTGTTTCCTGATTATGTAAAATATTTGATAACGTTATATTAAATACCTCTAGCGATACTTGCAAACATTAAATCAATTCTTATTTATATACGTACATTCTTGATCAATTAATTTCTTTTTTATACAGGGACCTGTTCTTTCTGATATTTTAGTCAAGTACAAACAATGACTTAAAATGAGAACGTGTATTGAAAATATATATAATTACTATGATCATAAAACTTGGTATTTGATTCGTCTATAATACTGTTTAATTTTAGCGACACTAGTTTAAAATAGTATGGAGCACTCAAGATCAACATGGTGATCCTATTTTCGAACATATATGCCATAAATAAATGATTTTCTTTTACTTTATTAGTTAGTGTATACGACCCTAAGTATCGATAAATATACTAGAAAGTTTGTAAACCATAAAATTAAATCATTGAAGATTTAAAAGCATTTCAAATAATGTTTCTTGATGCATATTCTCAGAGACTGAGTTGCGAGATATGGTGAAGGAAGTTGATCAAGACGGTAACGGTACCATCGAGTTTAATGAATTCCTTCAGATGATGTCCAAAAAGATGAGAGGTGCTGACGGTGAGGATGAGCTTAGAGAAGCTTTCAGGTGAGGTACTATTGATTAAAACAGGCGACTGATCTTGACATATAAATATGTCCTATATTGCATATGACATATACCTAATGAGATATACAACTTTCGCGAGTATTCATTTAAAGTAAACTAATATTTTTCGGATTAGTACGCGTATTTTATTATTATAAAACTATATACTCTCGAAGTTTCGGTTTAGCTATTTATGGTCTACCAAAAAATACGCCGAGCTATCCGAAAAATATTAGTTTCATCTAAATAATATGCTTACCTACAATTATACTATCCATATAAATATATACATAGCTATACCATACTATAATTGAACTGAATTTACTAACCATTTTTACCCAACCTCAATTGTAGCAGACTTTGGATGAGTGACGTATGAATTCTGTCTTCAAACTGACATGCAATTGATTTCGATCGCCCCGCGAATACTCCACTTGTATGATTCAAAATGGACAAATAAATTGAAATATTGGAATGTCAATACTTTTGATGGAAAATATTTTATAAAAGAGCCATTCTTCTAAAACCTTTTAACAGTCCTGTCCTTTATTTTTATTCAAATAACTTTTCTTAGTTTATAATATTTCTTGTTCATTTTCAACCAGGAGAATATTATGGAAGAGAAATGTTTGCTTTTATCACCTACCAAAGTAAAGTCAAAATCTATCGCTGTCATAATTTCAGAGTGTTTGACAAGAACAACGATGGTTTGATTTCATCCGTGGAGTTGAGACACGTGATGACGAACCTCGGAGAGAGGTTGAGCGAGGAAGAAGTCGATGATATGATTCGTGAGGCCGACCTCGATGGTGACGGCATGGTTAACTACGATGGTGAGTGGACTTTACAAGTTATTTGATACACAGACACACACACACACACACACACACACATAGATTAAATAAGTTTTTAATATACTAGGCGCTTCTTATTATTTTATACCACGTAATCCCAAGGTTTCGGTTCCTTTACGGTGACGTTGATAACGGGACACAGATATAAAATAATAAAAACTCGTAGTATGGCAAAAATATTAGTTTCATTAAATAAAAACTCTAAAATCTTAGATTGCCTATATTTGTTAGTTATATTACCCGTATTACGTTATATTTAACTTCAAATATCTCCAAAATAAAACGACCATCCTAAATAATTTGAAATTTAAAGGAAAATTTATCTACATTTGCGTAAAGATGGTATTAAAATTTACAATCGAATGCATAGCTAAAATTATTAAAAAAAACAATGATTCAACTTTTAGTATTTTAGACCTCTTAGCTACACCTTTTACTAATAGTTTGTTAGCGTATTTTTAATTTTACTCATAAATTTCTATTACAGAGTTTGTGACAATATTGACGTCGAAAAACTAGTATGCAGCTGACAAACCCAAAAGAGATCGCCCCCCACCGCGACCGTACCATCCGGAACCGAGTCAGCTCGGGGGGAAAGAAACTCTTATTTAAGTGTTCGTGTGTTTGCTTTGGGTTCAAACAGCCTAACTCCCAACGAAGTTATGTTGCAAATGAAACAACGGCCTTTGAGTGATTTAAACCGTGCTCCGTGTTTTTATATAGTTTATCGTTTTTTGTCGTTTTAATTTTTGGTGTTATATTAAGGTTTGCGAACCACTGCCTTTGGCTTAACACTGTTTGATGTTGGTGTTGTGATGTAACTTATTTTTGACACTATGTAATATGAGAGTAAGTATAACGACGACTGTTAACTTAGCTTCGCTAGCCAGGCGTTAATGAAATCAAGTGCTTCTAATATATAGTGTGATTGATTCACTGTATTATACCATGTCCCGTGGTTTGCATGCATTTGTAAATATTGCATGTGTGGAGCATATGTTATATGTAAGTAGATGTATGACGTTCGAAGCGTGTTTCGGATAGTACTTAATTTAGTACGCGATGAACGAAACACTTCGATCGTGTTATACTGATCTTATCGTTATAAATATGAGCTGTACTAGTTATCATTATAACTGAGAGCTAGTTATGATATATAAAGAACAAAAGACAAGTTCAAATTAAAATGAATGACAAATATAATTGGATATAGTTGATAGCTCGTATGTTTCAATAGCACGTAACTACATTTAATGGTAACTATGTTGAAGTGTGTTATTCGTAATATTTTATATGAAACATAGATGTTAAAATTTATTATGTAGATGATAGATGAAATGTGCGTTTTACAGGCAGGTAAAAATAACAAATAATTGATTAAACACAATATAAGTATGATATACATAGTAGCTTTCATAAACAAAGATAAAATCACATATAAATGTCTCTATATCTTTTGTTTTATAATTAAAGACTGAAATTGAAATTATAAAAGACAAATCATTTTGTAATACTTACAAATAAATATAATAAACTCTAAATACTTTTTTTTCAAATGAAACTATTTTACGTATAACTACGCTTTTTTCAGTCATAATAAATTTGATACTTAATATGTTAACATATTTTTTAAATAATCACAAATCAGTCGTTTATATACAGTTATATATATGTATATTAAAAATCACATAACATTAGATAAATACTACAATGAAGACAAATCAATTCATTTTCAACTAATATAATTCTAAGTATTGAACTCTCAAATTCACTCTTTTTACTCTAGTAAGTAGATACCTGTCTGTATGACGTCACATGGTATAGATTTAAAAATCGGTTGTGTCCATTTTGTAACCGTTGTAGTAATCAGTATACATGTGTAGTATAGAAGTGTTGTAGATCTCATAAGTCTTCCACTAAGCGAAGGTTGACTGAATTATGAGATTACAGTTTATTATTGTTACTAACAAGGCCATTTTATATTTATATTATTTTATTTGTTTTTATTATAATATAAGTATTTCGCACTCCTGTCTTGAATCATTAATAATTATAAACGAATGATCCAAAATTTTTAAGGCATGCCAAATATCAAAGCCAATGTACTAACAATTTTAATAAAAAATTACTTAAATGCGATCCAAAGAATTATATTTCTGTTAGTGATAATATTTCATTTGTTATAAAAAATCAAAAAATAATGTAATGCCAAGAAATGCGAAAGATATAATTAAATGAAATCGTTTTTTATTATAGTTAGGAACATATTAAAAATATACATAGTTCATGACATATTTATTTTTAATGTTAAATTATTCAAAATTATCTACTTATTTTAAGAAAGAAATTATAAAATTATGAAAGCATTGTTAAAGAATAAAAATTTAATTAGCAATATCGTAATACGAAAGCCCGATGGCTTGATATTGATTGCCATATATTTATTTTTTATTATCATATAAAATTTATATACAATAATGACAATAAAAGAATATAATAATGAGTCAATTTTACATAACAAAACTATATTTTGGATGGACGATTGAATAAAATCGCATATCACACGCAATAATATTAAGAGAATAAAACTTTATTTTATCGAAAATATATGAAAAATATTTTACTGTTATAAGAAAGATTATTTACATCATATTATTTATTGAAGATTTATTATTTAGCATTAAATAATGATGTTCATTATATAATTATTGTATATTACAAATCGCAATTCTATTTTTCAAGATAATTTAGTTTAGTTCGTAACATTTTGTGTTGAGAAGCGTTACTGATTTCCGTACCTCTAGCATGACTTCAAGTCTATTTTTAGCAAAAACAATTAATTGTTGTCAAATTTGTATGAAGTAAAAAGAACCAGAGCTACACTTTTCGTTGACATTGGTAAAATAATCCAAGTTTCCAGTGTTAATGAAGCCACAGCTTAAAAAATAATAAAAGATTAATCATTTATTCTTAATAACTATCACAGATTAAATAGAAATTAAATTTGACTGTTAATAATACAGTCTATAGAATAAGCAACGCATTCGATCATACTAGAGGTACCGACTCATACTCCATGGAGGTTACATATTTGATATTAATTTAAGAAAATATATATTCATTTGTATTTTTTTATTTAGTGTAATTGAAATTGTAAAATTGTTGTAATAAAACTCTATAATCACCATTGTTATTGCAATAATCAACCAATGTCTCCATTGTAATTTAGCGTATTACACTTAAAAAGTTTGAATTTAATTTAGTTTTTGAACAACGATGTATTTGCTTTCGTTAAAGTGCAGTTGGTAGCACTGTTATGTTATTGATTTGTGAAAGTTGGTAACAATGAAACTAGTATCTATAATGTACTGTTATAAATATCGCAAGGTAGATCGATGTAACTAGAAGATTATACAGGCTTCGTATGAAAAGGACGTTTTAATAAAATTGATATGTGAATAAATTTGATGTTTTAATTTATTATTCATTGATAATATTACTCACAAACTATGGTTTGTCATGTTTTTTGGTTTTATCTATTTTGATACTAGTTGTTTTTTCAGCTCCAAGAACTATTTGTCTAGATCTTGTGGTGAATCTGAAATTTTTTTCTGATACACGATGTTTGGAATTCGGACATGAAATAAAAAAGGTACTTTACAGAATTGATTTGCATTAAGTTACCTTATGACAAGTTCATTATGAAATGTTTACTATATCAACTTATTGAATAAGACTTATTAATATATCATTAAACTACATACAAAGACTTAACAAGACTGTAAACAGATTACACTTGAACATCATTGTAATCTCTTCCTTTTATGTAAATTTACATAAAGTAATACCATCTTAATAACAATAGATAAATTATAAACCAGAAATTCTCCTTATTATATTAAGCCTTAGATTAGGAATAAGCATAGTCTTAAGTTCTTCTAAATACAACTACAAGTATAATAATTCATCACGTTTTAAACTATAACTGGAATAAGAGTAGTCATGATTATTCTTCATACTTAATTCCTATACATTAACATAACACGTGCATGTGCTGTGACATCACGTGCGCACGCGCATCCATCGCCGACCAATCAGCGGGCTCGCTCGGCTCACGCCTGTCACGAGTCATGCGCCTGTAATGTGGACTGTCAAATTATTCGTTATGGAGACGCGTCATCACTAAAAACATATTGGTATTTAAATGTTGCTATAATTATAATCAATTAATTTATCTATAGTACATATATATCAGATATTAAAAAAATGTTTTGAGATGATCAACGTTAATACTTAAGTATTGTATCTCGTTTTTTTTTAATGTAACTATGTAAGGTGATATTGAGAACAAGACTTTTTTAATAGGTTACATGTTAAAACAATAAAATTATTTAGTTTTACGAGATTATTTTATAAAATGTATGTATAACATCTACTCCATACATTTTGCGATAAGAATTGCGGAGGCACGGCCCGGTTGTAGATAACTTTTAATTGTACTACACTAAATAAGCGTTATCTGTTTAACATAAAAATAAGTTATTTATTATCTACATATGTTTTGACAAACTAATCTATTTATATTATCTTGCTTGATTACCGTATCATGAAAAAAATATAATTTAAAAATCAAAAGACTTAATGATTTTACGTAAGAAACGAGATGGCCAGAAAAGCTTCAGTAATTAATTGATGGTTAAGGGTAAGCAACTCGTTTTTATTTTGTTTAAACAGTGTCGGTAAATGAACTTCAACTTAAATATCAAAGGTAAATAAATGTGAAAAGTTACGAGATAAACCTAGAAATGCTCATCTTGGCCAAACCTATCTAAATATATCTGTCGAAATTTATGCACGTGGCCAATATCGTAGGTAAAGTTAGGTCAGTTACAATGTCCATAATTTGGCTACTATATTTCCGTCTAATATGGAAGTCATCTAGCTAAAGTACTGGTACAGATGTCTTAAGAATCTAATTGTGTATTTTCTTTGTGTTACTTTTCATTCCCTACTTCAATATATCGGAAACGTTTTGACCGATTTCTTCCTTCCCATCCTAATTTTATTTCTTACAATTTAACAACAGCACAAAAATTGATATTTTTTATTCACATTGTTAATTATTATTGACATATTTTTATCATTAATTTATTATCTCTATCAATATGAAAGCATATATAGTTGAAGTGTAATCGA